TCAAACATTATCATTATCAAAATACAAAAATAATATTAATTACGCTTATTTCATCGACAGTCATATTTATTTATTTTATTTTATTAAATAAAATAAAATACCTCTTGTGAAATACTGGGAATATAGGGTACAGCCGCAGAATGTTCTTCTGCCATGTGTGCTGGCTCAAATAAAAACTAAAAACAAATAACCATTTAGAGATGGAATGTCATAATGTAGCTAACATTTTGAATATAACAACGCTACTCAGGTCATGTAGATTTGGGAAAAAAATATGAGGAAAAGTTTCATTAAGCTTATTTAAAACTTTTGAAGTTTCAAAATAAATGCTTTAGTTTAGATTTTAATTAACCTTTTGAGGCAATGCATATGTAACAATACGCCGGCGTCCTCCTTTAGTCGTATATAAGTCATTTTCTTCAAAGTGACAACTGCAAATGACACAACGTTTGCTTGGGATCCAATCGTTGTCGTTGTTACAATTTCTTATTATTTGAATCCAATCATTTTTCCATATTTCATTTTCATTAGGAAATCTAGTGTACAAAATTTAATAAAAAAGTAATTTTAAAAGAAAANGTGTGAATGTGTGCGTGCCGGCCTGTACGTACAGGCGAGCTGGTGTAACCTAATGTCACAGTATTTTGTTGATGAGACTCCGTCCGCCTTTTTTTATAGGTCCATGGTTTTAGTTTATCAATCATAATAATCTTCTTGACAAGATAAATCGTCAAACAACTTTGACATCAACATCTGAATAATTTTGAACTTTACTGACGAACAGTTAAAGATTATTTTCTCTAACTCGAGATTATTCTGTAACATAGTTTCAAAAGGTAATATGTGCTCGCGATTCGTTGAAGTAATCAATTTGAAAACTGACGAACCTTTTCATTCCGTGACTGTACAAGGATGCAAGTGTCACTCGCTCTTACCTGTTTTTACCCGACTGCACCAGAGAGAGGGTAATTGACATTACCTACTCATAGTAATGACGCTTTTCACTGTGAATTGAACTGTAAACTACAAACGTTCAACCATCAGGGGACTCATCAACATCATTAACAAGACAATTAATTTAAGTCGGTGTTTTGGACCCAAATTGTTCTACAATTATACGTCTTAATAGCCGTTAGGAACTTTTCAACTTATCACAGTTATTATTAAATACCTTTGTGTAGAAATCATATTATTATTTAAATAGTTCTTGGTTTTTTTTAGACAACTCTAGAAAGAAATAGAAAGCTGTGAACTCAAAACTCAACGAACCGTGGACCAGTGGTACTGGGTTCGATTCTAAGATAGGGCAGACATAGTAATAAAGATTTTGCTTTGTGTTCCCAGTTTAGCTAGAATCAGGCAAACATCAAATAGATGTCAGTAGATAACAAATAGAAGTAGGACGCAGTGCAGCATAGGACGTCCACCTACCTACAAGGTAGACCGACGACCTCATAAAGGTAGCAGGAAGGCGCTGGATGCAGGCTGCCACCAACCGGCAATGGAAATCATTGGAGGAGGCCTATGTTCAGCAGTGGACGTCCTATGGCTAAAATAATGATGATGATGAGATGACGAATAGAAACAATAATTTTCTTACCTTACCTGACACAAAAGAAATCATCGAAAGACACGTCGTTCAATAATTTTTACATTATTATCTGTCAGGAAGAATTAACTTTACTTCTTTACCACGCTCTTTTTATATTAAAAGGGAAGGGTAAAGTAAATGTACTTCATAGAGAAGTTTAACCAACCTTGGACCATTGCTTCCTACATTGTTCTTTTTACTTTATTTTACAAGTGGCATTTGTAAAAATGCACTGTACAGAGATCTTTAAAAGGATTTAAAAACTTGCATCCAAGGTTATCCGAAGTGTATAGACGACAGCACATCAGATTATGCATTTTATTGCATTATCACCTTTATTACTAAGGATATAAGAAGCCACTGTGTTTAGCCCAAAGTAGCCAAAAAGTTCGCAACGCGTCTTTGTTACAATTGGAATAAGGTTGTGTTGTCAACTTTTTGCCACTTTGGGTGTCACGAACTATTTGACGCTGACTGTGCAAGAGGCTCGTATCACTCGTATTGTATAAAAATTCAGTAACAAGTAGGTAGGTATTCTAGGTATTTGTATGGGGCACACAGAAAACCAGCGTCGTGGTCTTCTTCACCGTGAGCCACGGCATATTTTATGCTGATCTCATTGCGATAGGCATGTTGTGACATGGTGGTGGCACTAGAGTGCTCAGTTCACTTTTTTATTTCCATATAATATTTATGAAAAATAGATGGACAACAAATTCGTTTTTTCCTTTTGGATAAAGGAACCCTAAAAAGCTTGCTCATTCGTTTATTAAGGAAACCTACATTAAAATTGTTATAAGGTAAAGGAACCTAGATTTTATAGGCATTTATAATAATATTTACAATTAAACTTAAAATTACTTAAAAACTTTATTATGTTAACTACAAAATATTTTTACAAAATAAAAAAAATATCACCCACAGCGCCGCAGTCGGAATGGTGCCCAAAAGGCTGGCAGCATTGCCACGTTGTAGTATGGCCAGGCTTATTCGTTGAACAAAATAACTGGCAGCCTTTTGATCACCAACCTCTGTGAGCCTCTTTGCCAGTTCTTTATATCTATATATATAAAAGAAAGTCGTGTTAGTTACTCCACTTATAACTCAAGAACGGCAGAACCGATTTAGCTGAAAATTGTCAGGGAGGTAGTTTAGAGCCAGGAGAAGGACATAGGATACTTTTTATCCCGTTCGAAATTAAAAAAAAGTCTGCTTATTTATTGCCATTAAGGCGGAACAAAGTTCGCCGGGTCAGCTAGTATGTTATAAAAGGAACCTAGATTATATCTGGCTCTAAGAACCACAAAAACTATCTGCGCAGTAAAGGATTTTGAAGGCCAAATCAAACGCGATTGGAAACTGATATTTTTTGTTTTAATGCGTCATTGACTACATTTTAAAAGTTTGTTTTACGATATGAAATAGACCCACTATTTCATGAGGAAAGCTGCTTCTGTCTATCTTTTTGCTTTTTCAGAATATAATAGTCTCATTGGTTAGTCGACACTTGTAGGTATTTCTTATGAGGCGAAAATAGCCACTGGGCTACCGGACCACTGGGTCCGTGCAGCGGATGTCGGACTGCTATGTTGCGATTTGAGGGTCGCTTTGTAACCCGAACATAAGATTAGCTTAGCTAAAGGTTATTGTGTAAGAAGGTAATTTATTTATTTACCTATTTATGAAATAACATGAAAAACTAAATGTAAAAATATATTTTATGAAATAAATGAGTAGTGTTCTGAATGTCGGAGCCCTATGGGAGGGCTCTCAAATTTTACAGGGCTCGAAAATAGGTATTATAGTAGGTATGCAGCAGGTTTTAAGAAAGTAGGAGAAAGATTGCAGACTAATGCGGTGTCTCCAAATCCAATAGAAATACTTTAGATTCCACAATTTTCGAACGACCTTGCCGGTCTTCACCATCCCACAACCATGCGTTGACGGCTTATCATCGCGCGGTGCAAGCGAGAACGTGTAAACATACGCCCGTCTCTTTCCAGTTGTCGCTAAAATTCGGTCACTATCGGGGCCACTCGTTGATCGTTCATTCACCACGCATGCGTACTTTCTTCGTCCGCAGTGCGCATGTGCGGTTACTGTCAACCGCGCGACTCTCTCCGGCCGTAACCTCAAAGTAAAAATATTTCGTAAACATGACGACTGCTTTAGAGAAAGTCGCGATAGCTTTAATTGTAGGAGCAGTGTTCTTTTTGTTAAGAAGCATATTCCGCGCGGTGTACACATTCGCTATTGGACCATTAATCAATAAGGTGGATTTCAAATCTAAAGGGAAATGGGCATGTAAGTACAGTTTTGAGTCTGACAGAATTTTTCTTAATGTTTTTGCTATCGTAATTCGTGTAATGTTGCAAATTCATGTGCGTGGTCAAATCGTGCACCTTATCGCCGTATTATTGGCTAATAACAGTCATAATATTCACTACTGATAACACGAAATGCCTACCATTTCGGCATCAATGCATTCGTTCATCGATTATGTTTAATAATAACACTTCAAACTTCAACAAACCCAAATAAAATTGTGTGCAGTAACGTGACTTCAATTTACTCGGAGCACTCGGAGTCGGAGCTTCATACGTAGGTAATAAAATTATGTATGTAGGTTACATAAGTGTCACTCACTTCCTATCAATGCTGACTTGATAATCATGAATAAGGTCATTGACCTGGGTGCAATAAACGTAACGCATTCAAACAAGTTACTGATGCTAGCTATCTCCTGTAATACAATACAAATGATATTAAAAATAATGAGAGAAAAGAAAATTATTGATGACTAAGTAGGACATTAGAATGTACAAAGAAACACAATCTGAATTCAAAACCATACAAGGAACTGATTCAATAACAGAGCCAACACAATTTGAATTCAAAACCATACAATGATCTCATTCAATAGAGACTGGCTCTGAAATTTAAAAAAAATAGCTATCTTTTCCTCAAAAAAATTCGAGGAAGTGACAGGAAAGTATAATACTTATAGCCCAAGCCAAGCAATAAATTGTGAATTGGGTTGAAAATTTGACAACAGAACTGGATATTGTGATGACCCACAGTCCAAAAAATAGAGGAAAAATATTGAGCTAAAAAATATTTAAAGAGCTAGGTACCTACTACAGAATGTACCTAAAAAGTGAATAATTTATTCTAAATCAATGAACATTAACCCCAAGAGGTATATTTCAGAGGTTGCGATTGTTTTTCAGGAGGTATTAACAATAGACTGTCATTACCTTCGTCTGTGACATTGTGACGTGATTGAATTTTCAGCGTTGTAAATAAGCTATTTGCGCACGAATTCTCTCATGTTCATATTCCATACCTACTTTGATGAAATTAACGAACTTACGTAAAACAGTAGTGTTTAGGTATATCATAAATCAAAGCATTTTCTTTTCTCCATGGACCCAACCAAAACCAATGTCATCAATCGCATTCCCCCTAAATAAATAAACCAAAGCTAAAATCGTTTTTTGAACAGGATTCATCGTAGTTATCCTTTGCAAACATATTATTATTTACAATTGAAGTTTAAGGAATAACAAAGTTAGAATAGGATTTTAACCTCACAAAAACTAAGTTTTCTAGGTAACATTAGAGTTCAGTCTGGTTTTTCACTAAGATTCTTCATCATGAATCAGAAAATCAAAGATTCTACCATATTCCAATGGCTTCCCGATATTAAATAGAGCTAAACTTGTACGATTTCTGCTCTCATGATCTGTTACAGCTGATACAACCAAAGTTGTAGCCAAAATAACTTTCTTACTTTCACATTTTTCTCGTAAACTTTGAAAGGCTAATTTGGAATTTTATCCCCAAGCTCAAGTTTAGCACCACATCACAATACACGCACCCCAAATGAAGAGTTATCGCCGTTGGCTAAACAACTGTCCCTTTACTGTTTCCTGCTTAACTTTTACTTTATTCGTGCTCAGGGAGTATTTAAAGTTTGCCGACGTCTCTCGTGTGGATTTTACTTCTTACTGACAGTTCAAAACTATTCACTAAAGGCAACAAAGGTACAGGTTTCTGCAGTAATACAGGGTCGAAACGATAAGCTGGAAACATTGAATTTTCGGATACATCCAGTTTATTCTGTAACCTATTATTGATACGGTTTGATAGAGCTCATGAAGCACTTTCAGGATCAGTAACTAGTTTTTTGATATCTTGTATAGTAGTTTAGAAATAATTGAGTGAGATCACTTATCGTTTCCACTCTGTATAATTTTTGTTGCAAAAAACTACTTACAACTAAATACGATCCCAAAGTGCTTAGATTGGTACTTTGCTAGTTAAATGTATGCCTGGAGACAGACTAATGTGAAGAACTTTGCTTAGTGCTCACAGGTGAGGCTGAAAAGTTTAAAAAAGAACGTTTTATTTAAGTCTTTGATGCTAAACTTTAAGTACAAAAGACTTTAAAAACGTTAGTTTTTAACTCAACATTCCCTTGATTATTGTAGAATTTTCTTGATTAAAGACACCTTATTAACCTCTACTGTCTCTACGCTGAATATATTTAAACCTCCATCTACTATATTAGGCAGTATCTACGAGTATAACTTTTAATGATGATGTCATGCCATCTATAGCTTTTTATCACCATAATAGTGTGGGCGGGGAACTTACATAACACGTCATTGCTTTTTACTATAAAGCTATTGAAATGGACTAACATAATAATGCCAACCGGGCAGCATGGAAAGCATTGGGGGAGGCCTATGTTCAGCAGTGGACGTCCTATGGCTGAGATGATGATGATGATGATGATCATAATAATACCAAGAGGTCTACGCCATTATTTTCATCATAGGCCTCCCCCAATGATTTTCACATCGCCCGGTTAGTGGTGACCTGCAACCAGTGCCTTCCTGCTACCTTTATGAGGTCGTCGATCATCGACTGTGTGTCATTTAAAGAATGTGTTCCGCACATTTTCTATGGGAAAATGTATTACACTGCTTCATTATCAGCACTGACCATTATGCCAACTAAATTCTTAAACGCTTCATTCTGAGCTCTAACCTACATCATTGTCCCAGCAGTGGTATGATTAATGTCACAAATGTTGTTACGTATTGTAAGATCAATTTGATAAGGGCCGATTTTTCCAACGTCGCGTAACTTTTATTTGAAGAATAAGTTTGGCACATTGACAGTTTCGATATGGGAAATATGTCAAAATGACAAGTTTATTCTTTAGATAAAAGATATCTGACGATTGAAAAATCAGCCCTTATTAAGTATGGCTTATTTCAATCAAAACCTCTTTCGATACCCACCTCTTATTTGTTTTTGTTTTTCTGTGTTGAAGTTGTTCATCACATGGATTACCGCATCATGCATAATTTCTCTGCGCAATTTCTTGGTTACGTGCAAGATAACTGTTGCGCCAGCTTTGGTATAACGTTTCGTATATTACAGTTAATGAAGAGCCGTATTATTTTCCTTGTTTTGCGGTAGGTTGTAACAAAGTTAATTATTATTACATGCTGACCACTATCGACTTCTCTTTCAACTAACCAAGCAGTAGCCATCACATGTTTGGCCAGCAGGTCAAATCAATATTTAGCCAGTGCCAGTAAGCTCTGTTCAGCTTAGTTACTTTGCTGCTTATCCAGCGGAGTTGCTCTATATCACATCTTGCCATCTACCCTTCTTCTCCTGACGGGACTAAGAAATGACTTGGTACCTACTATCTCCAAATACTAAGTCATAAAATAGCCCTAAATCCTACCAAGATGCTGGGGCAGTAGTTACAGATGAAACTAAAATACGGACACCATTCTATAGTATAAAACTTTGCAGATAAACGTGATCCTTCTCTAGTATTATAGCTCTTTATAAGGCAAGGAGCCTGTTAGCTAGGTGACGATACTGAACTGGAACTGGGAAGTCGACCCTTAACTTCGAACTCCTCCTATGTTCTTCTGATTAATTTCGTTGCGGGTCCAATGACAGTTTAACTTTCCTCCGGGACAAACTTGACCTTCACTGGTTGGGTTTTTATTGGCGGTCAAGCTGTAGATCCTGGCTACACAAAAGTTGCAGCGGTGTGAACGAGAGGTGGGAATAGTCCCGTAAGTGATGATACTCAATGTATAGTTTTGTTGAACTTGTTTTTTTAATAATTACGTCAAAAAATACGAATAAAACTAGTTTAAAGGGTAATTATTATTCGGCTATGCTAATTCAATTGAACACAATGCCATAAAAATTATGGGGAATGTGAATAAATTAAACGCTAATGGCAAATACTACGCGAGATACACGACAAATAGTGACATAAAGCTTGATGATGGTATATTTAAACTAAGTTACCTACTTCAAATAACTGAGGACCTGTTTGTTTTTGTCTATGTAATAACATTCTTAAATCTGGTTTAACGCTTGTAGGTACATAGTATGTTAAGTAGGTATGTTTCGATACATTTAAACATGTTTTTTTTACACTTTGTATTAAAATTTCCAAAAAATTTACTGTTAAAAATTTAGGATATAAGAATTAAAGTCGTAATTTTAAAGGAAAGTAGTTCAAAAATAATTATTTTAATCGCTCCACTTAAGATATTTACTAAGTTCATTAAGCTGAAGCTAATGTGCTGATGTGCCATTAAAATTCTTGGAAAGCATGTATTTAATACAGCGCTCTGAGGAATTTCATTATCTCGAGACCACTTCGTCTTAAAATTTGTTGGTGTTACAAGTACAACAGTCAATAATTGATTATGCTGAGACACTAAGCCGTTGTTTGTTTACATTGTTTTTATTTAAATAATATGATAAATATTATTTAGATGACCTGCATATTATTATATCGTCAGAAAAGCAGGTGGTCAAATACGTGTTTAGTCAAAATTCGCAAATCGACAGAATCGCGAATTCACAATTTGCCAGATTTTCAACGAATCAGATTTTCATTAATTCTCTCCGGACTAGCACTTATAATTATTAAACTAAGCTCATTTGTATAGTGTCACTTGATTCATTTCGTTTAGCTTATTATCTGTAGCAAAATTAATTTATTTGGAAATTGTGGATATTGACCATGACCATGACAGAAGCTACACTGATCACATTCTATCATTATTTTAGTAAATTGTTGATTTATTTACCCATAGTCTAGACGATGTTTGAGTGATATATTAGAAACATAAACCAATACACGTGGATAAATACTTCATTAAGTAACTGTATATAAGTTATTTGTGATTTACCGTAGGTATTTTGTAGAGAGGACTATGTTATATAATTTTTCAGGTCACATAACTCCTAAAAATATGCAAAATTCTCATTTATTTATAGAAAACGCATTGTAAACTCGTAAACAAAAATTTTACACATGCGAATATGACCCTAATTAAAATTGGCATAGAGTCGACGACAACAATCAAACGCGCCGCAAACGTTTGGCGCGAACTCGGTGAATCACGCAGCTTTCACTCATGCGCATGCCAAGCAAGTTCAAGGGAAAACGCGTCATAAATCTTTAAGCATAAGGTTGTCTTCACTATGACAATAACGTTCGTTTCCATAATAATATAATTCAAGACAGGTCTCTTGAGAAAGTTGTAAATAGTCGAGGTTACAAGGAAGTTGACTAAAATGTCCTGCTCTTAGCACAATGCTAGCTTTTCCCTGTGACTTTGTCCACTTTCGTATAAGATAAGAAAATGACAGTAGTGGACTGTTGGACGTAAGCCTCTCCCATCAAACGTCCAAAAAAATTAAATCTAAAGAAGGCAGTTCTGCTGGTCAGTTTCCAAAATTGGTCTTATTTTACACTAGCTGTGCCCGCGACTTCGTACGCGTAAAACTCTTGAATATTTTTTCCCATTCTCGGAACATTTTTCATTGATGCTTTGCTGCTCTTGGCCGTAGCATAGTGTTAATAGCCTTCCTCAATAAATAGGCTATCCAACACAAAAACAAGTTTTCAAATCGGTCCAGCAGTTCCTGGGATTAGCGCGTTCAACCAAACAAACTCTACAGCTCTAGTTTCTTGAGACCGAGTCTTAAGATAAAACCCAAGAAGCTCTCAACCCAAGTTCCAAGTGCTCCAACAATAATCGTGTACACGCTGATAGAGCTGAATCAACAATTTGCGGGTGGCGCCATCTACATAATTTGCAATTGATATCGCGGGTCGAGTGAACCCGAATGAATATTTATACTAGTCTTCTGGATTGCCGGTAATTTTGCTGAGAATTTAGTGGAAGGTGCTGTTGTTAGATATATCGTTATAAAGATCTTATTCAAGACTAGCTTATGCTCATGGCTTAGCCCGCGTCAATATTTTGTTGGTCACAGAAAAACTTGTGGAAAAACTTCATCGCGCGCGTCCCTTTTTAAAAATGGGGATAAAAACTATCCTAAGTTCTTCTACGGGACTCAAACTATCTCTATACCAAATTAAACCAAAATCAGTTCAGTGGTTTGTGCGTGAAAGTGTAACAGAGTTACTTTCGCGTTTATAGTATTAGTAGAGATTTTATCACATAACCTAAGACGTGAAATCTAAAATCATTGTGTATTAAAAAGAGCATCTTCTGACATTGTGTTACTGTTTTATCGTTGTGTCATTAATTTATAATTTTATACACTTTTTTATTTTATCCTGAAATCCTTAAAATTCCATCCTTTTGAATTTTAACCATCTATCACACTTTTTTTATGGTTTTTTGGCGAATATTTGTATCACCTCATATTATTATATACCACATGTATGTTTTTCTTATAATAATTTATCTGCCGAGCGTCCGGCACCTCATCTTGCTTGGTGATGAGATTTTTTAACGCGCAAAAATGTTTTTGTGGCCCTTGGGTTTATCCACAATTCCGGTTCAGGGTCAATTGCGATTAGTAAATTATTACACACTGTAAAACCCTGGTTTTCCTAAATAAATAAATAAATAAATAAATTAGTAAACTAGCCAATGTAGCAATGAGTGGGAAATACAGGCCAAATCCTCTATCGACAGCACATCAGGCTACCCATTTTTGATGCAAATTACGTAAAAAGGTAACCACTGTGGGTTCTTGTGCAGTTGTAATTAGGCGCCCCTATTACAACTGCACAAGAACCCACAGTGGTTACCTTGACGTGCCGTCGTCTGTACAATAAATAAAGTAAATTAAATTAATCCCGCTGCAATTAAGACTACCTATATTGAAATATTCATTTGCTCTAGTAAATTAAAGAAAGTAAGAAAAAAATTTGGTACAAAGTAATAAAAGCAAGAAATAAGCACGTCCTCTAGAGACTAAATAACTTGATGATGATGATGATGATGATGCTAACCAATTCAATTTTGTTTCAGTGGTGACCGGCGCCACAGACGGCATTGGCAAGGAGTACGCCAGACAGGTAAATTGCTATCTCCATGTTTATTATGCAGTAGCTTCTGATGCTATACGAGATTATAGTGCTGCCTGACATGTGGGCATTGGGCTATCGATAGATTGAGAGTCGATGTCGTGCCCTGAGTGCCCAAGCAACTGCACTCAGGAGGATTTGATGAGTGCTACTGACAACGCCACTCTTGTGGCGGAGTTTTGGGCTGACACTGTGCAGGTTTGTTGTCGACACGAAAAAAAAAGAAGAGAGTCGATAATTTGGGTATTTCAATAATAGGGAATCAAATTATTTATTTGTAAAACATGTAAAACGTGTAAAACATCTCACACGGGAGAAATATTAAGCTCTTGGATATAAATCTACTTTGAATATTATTCCAATTATTTGATCACCTAATAAAAGTATTAGGTAAAGTTAAATCAAAGTAGCAGATCAGTCAGATTGTGAAGAAAAATATTCCATCAAACATAATTGACAAATTAATATTAATTATGTAACTTAAGATGATTAAATTTCGTCATCTTTACAATAAAATTAAAACCATTGTGTAATTAGAATTTCCAAATTGATCCCTATTAATTATTACCGTTCATGGACAAAATCTGTATTCATTGGACCAAATTAAATTAACGGCTCAACAGACGCGAAGATTTGATAAGTGAATTTCATCACTTTTTACGTATAATATGTTTGTAAATACTCGTATTTGTTGCTACGACGAACATTTAATTTTCGTAAACTTTTATCGATATAAGTACCTAAATGTGGAAACTTTGCTGATTTCTGTCCTATTTTTTGTGTGATTATTTGTCTGTATATGAAAATTGTTTGTTTCCCTAATATAAATAAATAAATAAAATAAAATAAAATAAATAATTTGGAACTATTACACTAAGAGCTGGTGAACGCCAGACCTACGTCATTTTATAAAAGCTGAAAGTTTGTCAGCCTGTGCTCCCAATATAGGATAGAATGTTGGTGAATCATGAAGTTTGGGTCATCGTGGCTTTGGCAGCTATCCTAAAAAAACTGTCTGGCAAGGAGTTATAGCAGGAGCATACGCTGACAAACTTTCAGCTTTATTAAAATGACGTAGGTCTGGCGTTCACTAGCTCTTAGTCTACAGGGTGGAATTTTGTAATGCCACCTGGAGGGAAAGTACCCTTAATACTGTAGATAGAAAATTTTACTCAAAGAAAACATTCCTTTATTTTTGAAAATAAAGACAACAGCATTCAAAGATTTTCGAATTTTTTTCAAAAATTTACCACCATAACATACAATTTTCTGTAAATAATTACAATAATTTAAGATTTCATGCTTTTCCTTTCATTTGATTTATCAAGTTTGTTTGAGAGATTTCATCCTTATACTTTAACCCTAACGATTGATGCAATAAAAATACAGAGTGTAATTTTTAACAGATTTTAGTTAGTTCGATTCCCGAGTGTAGCAAGCAAATTTTTGGAAATCGTTGAATGCAGTTCTATTTCTTTTCAAAAATAAAGGAATGTTTTCTTTGAGTAAAATTTTCTGTCTACAGTATTAAGAGTACTCGTACTTTCCCTTCAGGTGGCATTACAAAATTCCACCCTGTATATCGATAACCCATAAGCTAATGGTCTCCATCACTATATGCATGAGGTGCTAAACCACTGACAAGATTCTGAAATAAGATTATTGTGGTCTAACGCTTAGCCATCAATTTTAGTGCCGCAACTATTAACTACTACGGATTGCAGTGGATAGTCATTAAACGTATTATGAATAACGTTAGTGAAACTAGTCGATTTTATGGTGTGGAAGAAATTCTGTTAGGTAGGTTTATTTTTACTGTGACTATTGGTAAGATGATAATTATGTCTGAGTTTCTTGCGCTGCTTCTTCTCAGCACTGGCCCATTTATTGTCCCGAAGCAGTGGTAGGGTTAATATTGGGACGTGTAAAAGTGCTTTTTAAAAGCCTATTTGCTAAAATAAATGAGTTTAATGAGTTTTATGTCTGACCTTAAAATAAGACCTCAAAATCAGCCATTACAATGATGGGGGTAAATATCATAATAACATCAAAAAGAGGAGAAGATTCATTCAAATTAATATTACTTATTTGACTAGAATACCGCTACCACTAATTAAGGTAGTGCTCTTTTCAGGGCGCCGGGAGTCCCACACACCACCCTATTCCCCGGCAGTGATGATGGTGCGCAAAGCGACAAAAAGGGCTGTCTTTTTTTATGTACGTTAGGCAAAATGTGTCTTTAAGACTAAATTACCCTAGTGCACCCTTCAGAGCATCGTGACTCATGAAGTAAATTCCACTAATATTTCCATTCTTCTTTCCATTTGGTTAAACTCAAAATTCCCTCTGCTAATGTTAATAAATCATTCTTTTAAATATCCACGTGCACTGCAAACGGTTATATTAGCATTTTATGTAAAATGGCGTATAACTAGCGGACACGCCGGCCATGCAATATGCATGTCGGGTCTAGTCTTGATGCATGACCTGGGGAAATATGGCCTTTTCATTGCTAGCTGAGATTTGATACGGTTTAGGTTTCAGCTAGGGATGATTTTAACACGACGGGCGTTTGTAGGATACGGATTTTGATTCTGTTCTTGGGCTAAGTCATTCCCAAAATTTTTGAATACCTACAGTTGCATCAGTTGGGAGGTACGTACACACGCATCATTTGGGAGGTCGTGACTGTCGTCACTTTGCTCAGAAGTGGTGACAATTCAGAAAAATAAAATAGGGCTGGCTAGATATTTTATGTTTCTATTTGTGAAAACTGTCTAAGGCATTTTTGATCTTAACCGCCTCATCTATTAATTATTACATACCCATAATATGCTGCTTGTTTTCCATAAAATAAATAAATTAGTTAGGGTTATGGGAAACCGCTGGATGCAACAAACTGCCCCGAGCCACTTAGTTTGATGCTTAGGCAGTCAGGGAGACCTATGTCATAAGCTGTGGACTTCTAAACAGATGATGATAGATAGACTTTATGTCACAAAAACCTGTCTGATGATGATGATGATGACTAATTTGGAATGTTTCTTTGCAGTTGGCGGCTAAAGGCTGTGATATCATTCTAGTCAGTCGTTCTATGGACAAACTCAAGACTGTAGCTGAAGAAATTGGTAAGTACCTATTTTGTTGGTTCAAATCCAGTAATACAGGCAGTAAATACACATCACCTGTTCTTACATTCAATAATATATTTTAATTAAGTTCATACAATTTAAACTTACATTAGTTAACGCCTTCTCAATAACGACGCCCATTATAAACGGGGCCCTTGTCGCACAAAGAGCCCTATGTTCTGAATGTAACATCTCCGATGTCTAATAGGATCCAGCACTAATTCAGTTAACTCAATTAAGAAGCCATTTGTGTCTAGTGGAATTGTTTTTGATGTGATGAATGACGTTAGACCAAAGATTTATGTTGTAATTTTATGTTTAGTACCACCCGTTTATGTTAGAGGTTATGTTATACGGTCATATGTTTTGGGAAACTTGCAGCCCAATAGTACTTAAATCTTTTTATTTGAAGAATTTGACTTACCAATTTATCAAACGTTGCCACGCTTCATACACTGCTATATAGCTCGTACACGTACTATTTTGCACAAAAATATGCAGGCGAATTATGCTGGCGACTTTACATGAAATAGATAAGATAATTTCGGCGAATTACGAATTCGCAACTGCATCCATATCGCATACTCCAGGTAGCATTACAAACTTCCACCCTGTATAAGAGTCGCGCAATGATATTGATACTGATTTACTATTTGACCACTCATGATCAACGATGAACCTATGATCAAAATAGCGTGTTTTCTACGGCCTAAGTCTTGGTATCCCATGAAACCTAAAGCAGTTGCGTGAGACCGCGGTAACAATTAATAAATAAATAAATGTTTATTTTCCAAAAAAGAGATACATATTCTTGACTAAATAACAATGTAAGCTATAATATTGTGTCTCGATTCGCTGGTACCTACTTGAAGGGCTTTAATTTTTACTTATAATAAAATTTCTTCTAACCAGAAAAAGACTTCAAAGTGGAAACCAAGGTGGTGCAAGCGGACTTCAGTTCAGAGAGCATCTACGACAACATCAAGACCTCTATTGAGGGACTCGAGATCGGCACCTTGGTGAACAATGTCGGCATTTCGTACGACTACCCTGAGTACTTCTTGGATGTTCCTGATTGGTGAGTTGGTCGTAAATAAGCCTTAAACAAATTTGAATGATTAACACAAGCAATCCTGTAAATAATCCTCTTTCTGGCGCAGTCAGGTAAAAACATAGAGAAGGCATATAAACTAATTAAATATTGTAAGATGGAAATGGACCAGTCCTGCATTTTTGATGGCTCTAATGAGATGACAGTTTTGACCTATAAAGGAAAATCGTTATTATCGTTTCTTTTTTATTTACTTGTGAATTAAATGCTTTTAGCTATTCAGCCAAGTAAGCATCTCCCAAGCACTTCCAAAATCGAAGTATAAAAAAGGAAATCAAAAATTGCCTCAAATATCAACATTCGTGTTCAAAGTCGCATTTGCCACTCCACAAAATCCAGCATTCCAAATTGATCCTTATCCACGTCTATAGCAGTTGTCGCGTCGCCTAATATCCTGGAGGTGTAAAATTGAACGGCAACCAGCGGTATTGCATCCTTGAGAAGGCACTCAATCGAATTCGAAATATTATTCACGCTTTTGACGTTCACGCGTCTTTGGGTTTCTAGGGACGTGAGGATTGAGGCAAGTTGGAAATATGAAATTTGAAATAAAACAAAATAATCACCAGATTATTTTGACGAAATATCGAATTGAAATCGACTGAAATCGATCGACGAGATGGTGCACAAAAAAAATTGAAATCACAATTTAGTAGGTACCTAACGTTAAAATACTTATGATGCAAGCTAAATAAAGTAAACCCTCGGTTGCACCATCTTACTTTAACTATAACACACGTCAAAAGTCTGCCAAACTCCATACAAACACACCGGTTAAAGTTAGAGTTGCAGTCCTTTTGTGTTGATTAAGTTTTAATGTACTTTTACCCGACTGCGCCCGGAGTGCCGCGCAATGAAATACCGTGCTATTGACACGGTAGCTCGGAATACTGAGTTGTCGATGCCGCTTGAGTATATTGAAATAGAAGTGAAATTGCTAAGAAGAAAGCTCAAGCTTCAAGTGTCTCGTTTAAACACTTCACGTGGAATAGTTCTCACTTTCTAATAAATTAATAATCAATTTTATTCTTCTTACAATCCTAATGATTTTCACAATCATAGAAAAGGCTATTTAATCAAACATGGCTGAAGAAGAATATTTATATGACGAGTCTACACATCATATTAATAAATCATTTTTTTCTAATTTACCCAAATCACCATCACTGACATTATTTCAAAGTCTAAATTCTTAGTAGCTAATTTAGTTACTGAATGATGTTTTCTAGCTGGATTTCATTCGATTATAATATTATCAATCAATACATTTCACATTACAAATCGATTATTGCCTTCAAAAACTCATCTTCCCTTTTTATTTTATCATTACCGACTCTCGTCAGAATCGATTTCAAACAATTGAATTCACTTAGCGTCCATTATTTGGAGTTCTCGTAAAATTAATAGGTTCAATGCTCGGCTGTTTCCAGTTTATGGAAAAATCCACCAGTTTATGGGGTATCAACATCCAGCATTCGTTTGGAAAGCTTGCTGTTTTCCAATATGGTGCCAAAATACTCCTCCTATATTAATGTTTTGAGAATTATACCGGGACATGCTTTTGCGTAAGACGTATTGTGAGGCAGTTAAATTTTATGCGACTGACATACAAATGGGTGTTGAAATGCCATTCGAAGATTTCGAAGTGATGATCTGTTATTAAGCGCATGAAATTTTTCGGCTTACAGTTTTTCAGACTGTTAATTTTTCAGTTGAGATTTGTGGTTTGAAAGTAATTTCATAGCAAATTTTATGGGCTACATTTTTCGAGAATTGGTATGGAAATGGAAATACCTGAGAAATCACAAACAAGTTAGTTAAAGCAACGTTTGCTTACTTTACGTAACAATCATGAAAAAACATACAGTACGGTATAGTATTTTAAGGTTATAGGAAAATGTTTTTCATATAAGTAATGTTGGGTAAAATAGTATGTTCCATTTTCTCATCGATTATGAATCCACTTGCTAGCGGTAATCCATACTACATGGAATGGAAATAAATCCAAGTATCCCTGCTAGTGGAGATAATAAAATATCAGTAGGGAAATATGTAAAGCTTTCTTACGTTCTTTTATATTGAACGATTATTCTATTAATATTCAACGCGTATATTCACCGCAGGCCGCCACCAACCGGCCATTGTGGAAATCATTGGGAGGCCTATGTTCAGCAGTGGTCGTCCTATGGCTGAAATGATGATGATTCATACACTTCTAATATCTACAGACTGATGGCATGTATAGCCCGTTTCCATTAGGTGCGTCTGTCACAAGCCATATAATTAGGTACCAAATTGCATCGTTATTCAAAATTTTCTGGCGTTAAGAGTCGCTTCTCGATCTAATTATTTTTAAAATAACTTGAAAAAATCGAACTGCTTAAAATGGGAATCAAGACCTTTCGCTTGCCGGGCAACTGCTCTTCCATCTGAGCTACTTAGACATTGAGTGAACCCGTGGAAATTTTCAAGTGTGTGTGCATCGTCTGTTTCTTACCCTCATCTAACAGGTCCACCATATTAACAATCCTTTCTTCTTCACCAGGGACAACAGGTTCAAATCCCTCATCAACGTGAACATCGTGTCAATGACGCGCATGACGCAAATTGTTCTCCCTGAGATGGTCAAGCGAGGTAAGGGTGTCGTCATCAACATCGCTTCTGGCACCGGCGTCATTCCGGCACCCTTCTTGGGGATGTATGTTGGGACTAAGGTAAGAAGATTTTGGAGTAAAGTGTGTAAAGTTATAGCTACTGATTTTATGACACAGGACTGCAATTTTAACTAAGCTTCCTGAAGAAAATGTACAAGCTGAGTAATTCATAAAATGTGTAACGATATTTTTTTCGTCGGTTTTAAACCATGTCAATATCAACTTGGTATAAAGCTTTCAAATAATTTAGGAACTAGAGGTTAATGCGCCCTAAAGTAGTTAACATACCATAGCCATGGACATATTTGGGTTTGAGATGCTTGAGGTGCCATTTTCAACCGACTTCAAAAAAGGAGGAGGTTCTCAATTCGACCCGTATGTTTTTTTTTCTATGTTTGTTACGCGATAACTCCGCCAATTATGAACCGATTTGAACAAATCTTTTTTCGGCGTATAGGTAATACCTCAAGGGTGGTCCCATTGAAATTTAATAATAGAAAAAACAACCCCCAAGGGTGGAAAATTGAGGATGAACTTTTTTATACGCAATATCTACGCTGATTATAAATCAATTTGAACGATTATTTTTTTGTTGAATAGGTATTATCAAAAGGGTGGTTTCATGCGAATTTGAAGAAAATATGTCACCCCCAAGGGTGGAAAATTGGGGATGAACTTTTTTATGCGCAATATTTTTAATTTTTAGTTTTTTTTTGTGTTCACGCATTTGAAGTCGGTTTTATTTTTTTAAAAAGTTAATTATATCATTCGTACACCCACAACATACTTAAAAGCGAGCGAAAATAACCTTTAACCAAACGAAACTACGAGTAACATACTCGTACGTCAAAAGTCAGGGTCACATGTAAAAATGAAAACAGCATAAATTATTATAAACACGAAAAACGTGTAAAAAAACTGCTCAGTTTCCTCTGAAAAGTACCTACCATAACAATATTATTTACAGGCATACGTCATCAAGCTTACCGACTGCCTCCGCATTGAGTATGCCGACAAGGGTATCCTCTTCCAAAGCGTGAACCCTGGATACGTCCTCTCTAACATGTCAGGGTTGAAGAGGGAGACTTTGATGTCCCCATCAGCTAAGAAATTCGTGCGATCTGCCCTTGGCTTGGTGGGAACAACGAGCGACACGGCCGGCTATTTCCCACACTATGTCCTGTTCAATACGATCCTGTTCGCGAAGGACATGTTTGGACCTGTCATCGAATGGGTGGTGTCCAGGTCTATGCTGAACGTGAGACGGCGTTACCTCAAAAAGTACAAGAAACAGTAATTTGATTCGGGTGAAATGTATTAACATTGGGCTGGCGTTTGACTCGGACATTTAGCTGTAACGTTCGTGAAGTTATGAACGGGAGTTATATTTGGGAAGAATAGGAGCAGACAAGCGACATTGTAAGCTATAATGACGCTATCCTGATCACAGATTTCTGTTCTTATTCTTCGTACTACTCAAAATCTCGAGTCTACTTATTTCAATCACTTAAAATAATACTTCTTGCTGAAACTAAATCATACAAGTAGATCTCGATTCACAGTGGTTTGTAAATGCTCCATCAAAATAGTCCTAGTCAGTCGCCAGCCTTTTAAGCCATTCACGAACAACCAGCAGTACTATAGCTTCAAGCTGTAACTAAGCTAAATACCACAGGTGCTGCTTCAACAAATAAGACCGCTTAAAAAGTTAATACAATCCTTAGTGCCTTTTTTGTGCAGAACAGATTCGCACGTGTGCCGAAATCCGAATCACAAGAAAAAGGAATATCCATTGACTATGACTTTTTGAGTGGTATTTGTTTTTTTGTTTAAATGAAGGATTCTTCGTACTTCATTGCATTGCATTTAAATTGAGATAATTGTAAGTTTCCTCGATGATTTCACAAAATCTACCTCCCGAACAAATATTGTTGTATGAAGTTTCCTTTTATCCTGTGTTTGACCTCTTTTTACGCAAACAGAATCCAACAATCTTGCGTGTAAATAAGATCAGCTGACTCCTAAGGGCACTTACAAACTTGCAATTTCTTTGCGCATTTTACAGTTGATTTTTCATACGACTGTGACACGTTTTACGTGCGTGTAACACGTTTTAAAAAACTGATGATAAAGTAATTATTATCTGTTTCAGTATATTTTTGTCCTAACATATTAGATTGTCGGATTCTATAAGCGTTGGTCATTTGCCGCATGTCATAATTTTTGCCAAGATTAACACCAAAGATGTTAAGTAATTAACATTAGAATAAAACGCTGTATATTACCTACCTGCGCTGTGAAATCTAGTTTTAAATATGAATTTGTAATTAAAGCCTTGGAGGACATTTTAACATTTTTCTCAGTAACCTCAACTCTGTAGGAGGGTTAATTAAGAAGTTAATAAAACCTTTTTAGTTGCAAACTAAACGAGTTTGCAACTAAAAAGGTTTTATTAGATAATATTTTTTTATTAAATCTACTTTTTGAGTCCTCCTGGGTTTTATTACTATGTAGTTCTCTTAAAATGGTAATGCACTGCACGCTCTTGTGATTTCACTTTCTGTGCCTATGATATCCAAATATTTTAATTGTATGTACATACGACGCCACGTCAACGTAACCACTGTGGGTTCTTGTGCGGTTGTAATATGGGCGATTTTGCAACAAAAATGGGTAACCTGATGTGCTGTCGTGTGTACCTACAGTCAGCGTCAAATAGGTAGTTTGTGACACACAAAGTAGCCAAAAAGTTCGCAACACGTCTTTGTTACAATTGGAATAAGGTGGTGTTATCAACTTTTTGGTCACTTTGGGTGTCATCATTATACATATTTGACGCTGAATGTACCTACGTACAACCCGATCAAGCGAACTGCGCACCTCTGGAATGCGACTTTCCCTCCCACTTACCCGCACACCACCCCGCATTTGCCCCGTCCGTACCAGAGCGTCGATGTGACGTCACAGCGCCAGGTACGCAGTTAACTCGACCGGGTTCTAGTCGATAGCACGTCAAACTGCATTCTTATTCCAAAATAACACGTATAGTCCAGTCATTATAGTAAGTTCAAATTAATTTTGTATGAACTTGGTACAATTATTCTTCATACACCTGGGCAGGTTATAGTATACTTAGGAATTCCCACGAGAACAGTAATTAGCGGGAAAATCCTTTTGTATGAAAAATCTAAACGCTTAACGGAAGTTAGACGCTTGAAATTTGGCATGTAGGTACCTTAGTAAACTCAAAGCTTAGTTACAACAAGGAATTCCCGAAATTCCCACAGGAATTAGCGGGAAAATCCTTTTGTATGAAAAATCTAAACCGCTTAAGTAGACCTGAAGTGATGCAGTGACCGCGCGCTCTCCGCCCTCTATCTCGAAAACGGTTCACCGTATAAAAAAAGTTTTTAAACAAAATTTGTAGAGAATTTAGTATTCTACAATATTGATAATAAATACAAATAGCAAAAAACCCATAGGAAATGAGATATTTCTAAAAAAAGCGCAAAAAACCGATTTTTGTGACCGTTGACCTTAAAATTTAATAGTTGCTTACACCCTACCATATGTAGATTTTGAGACAACTTTTAGGGTGTCAATATACAAGTATTTACAGACTTACAGCTGGGTATCTCGAATTCCGAGATTCTTACCTAATTTAAGCTTAAATGACTGGACTAGTATTACAACGAATAAGATTCTACACTGTTTGCCTAATATGCTGCCATTTGTACTTCTATATTTAATTGCTTGAACTTACTAAAACTATCCTTCTCAAGTTTTTTCGATGTAATAAACTGATTTTTAATCATTTAAACCAGTACCTATATTAATCTTGCCATACCTTGCAAACAATTTAGTTTAAAAGTGTACATAGAATAGTCAATTAATATTTATGTAAAAGTAGTGTGAAAGCAATAAATGGGTTGAATTAGTTTTAAGTTTGGTTCCTAAATAAATTATGGCTTGAAACAAAATTGGTTTGATTTTCTTCGGTGGTGGACTATTATCATGCTTTTAAAACACCAATACATCATAACAATATACATTTTTAAACTGATTTTGTACGTGGAGTTGGAGTTTATGCAAATATTTTTCATAATTATCTTACTGATAATAATCTCTCTGATAGTTTAAAACAGGCTTTATTCAACTTTTATTTGAAAGATAGCGTGATTCAGATTTCAGTCATTTTCCATCATTATATTGTAGCCCGGTTCACAGCTTCAAAGTAACGGACTTTGTAATACTGAAAGAAAACACACGGACATAATACTCGTAAAATAATAAAAGTTATCCATAACAAAGATAATCTTCATGGTCGAACAATGACTATACAAAAGTCAGTCATAATAAAATAATAATTACTTACTGCTTGACAATGTTCTCAACGGTCGAACAATTACTTTAAACTATGCTCTACTTATCGGATGTATGAGAACTAATATTTTTCCTATACAAAAGCAATACTGAGTATTATGCGGAACTATCGATAGTGCCCTCAATGGACCTAGAACAATATTCAGGGTATCGATAGTAAGCCATGTGTAATAGACATCGATACTATCGACTCTTCTAATACTCGAGTACGATGGGTGTTGTAAATTGCATTAAAGCCTACAAATGCACAAACGAAATGCAACATTCTATTCGAGACTTTGGACATTGGAGCGTGAATGTTAAATCTTTATTTTATTCAGACTTAGCTTCCGTACTGAGTTAGGTCTAGCGCACACGACGTGTTTAGTTACTGTAGCTGCTAAAGTATTAATACTTAAATCAACGAATAAATAAAATGGTACTCTATAAATAGATGTGTCCTCAAAATATTTACAACGCAGATTTTTTATTTAGAAGATTCTGAATGTTCAAAAATTCGAAGTCCTAGTTATAGCCCAATTCCTGGAGATAGTTTTTAACACTTATCTTAATATGTGTATTAAATTATAAAATATGCCCTGAAGTAGGGATACTCAAGAAAAGCTTGTCACCCTAAAAATATTGCTATTCTAGAATTTACTAATGACCGTTTCTTTTCCAAAGCGACTCGGCTACAAAAAATGACTTACTTTTAGTAAGTTTTCAAAGTAGGCAGTAGGTACTCATCGTGTGCGTAGGGCTTAACTTGAAGCCAATTTAAATAATATACTGTGTTGAGTTTGACTGTGCTCTCCCATAGATTTCCTCTGACAGGGATATCCTTTCCCAGGGCAATGTAAATGTAATGCGATTTCCAGGGATTTGTACTTGGAGAGGTATTAAAAATTACTAAAGCCATATGTAGGTGATACCTATAATTACTTTCATAAGTAAACAAGATCAATTCGTGCAGAAATAGATAGATTTTATAGCTTAAGAAGAAGAGGGAAAAGGCAGAAGATAATGTAGGTAGGTACTTCATGTTCTTAGTGTAAGAATCAAGATTGATTAAGGGAACGTATCCGTTACATTTAGGTCAATGCTGTACCACTCATAAACCTTAATTTTTTTTTTTTCTTTTTTTATTTTTACTGGAATAAAATAACTTTGCGCCAATATCGCAAATCAGTAGATTAAAATGGTGAAGATACGTGTACATAATATGTAAAATACTTCTTAAATCCTACAACTGGTGGTGGTATACATTTATAAAAGTAAGTAATATTCTCATTAAAAATATCATTTCAGGAAAGGAAAATTGGAACCGTAAGGCAGTTGGGAGTTATTTGTATGTGAAGTTGAAACAACGAACTAAACTCAAAGCAGACTCAATAATTTTAAGTACAATGTTAATTAAGTTGTTTATGTTATTTACAAAAAGTTTAGTTGTTATGTGTTGATTGTTATAAAAGGTATGCGTTCTGTACAAACGCTGACTCGTACTGAATAAGGCTGAAAAAAATTTACATAAGAAATCATTGTGTTTCATTACCACGTAAAATCTCTTTCACTGCACCTATCACAGACTATGACCAAAGAGAAGTGACAGTACGTCAAACACTTTCTTTGGACTGTCATGTCAAAATCAAATGTCTTCTAATTTACCATAAAAACAGAAAATCCGCACAAAATATCAAAAATACACAAATGTAACGGTTACAAAAATGTTAGAGTACTCCGGTACGATGTTACAAAAAGTACGTTAGCGAACTATGGGTAGAAAAGGCGAAGGTGCGTGCGGATTAAGTTTCAATCTCAACCAACTGCTGATGGTGATAGGGTCTATAGTGATACTGGTGCTGCTGTTCTTGGTCGTCTGTCACATAACCAGTGGACGTTAGAGAATGGGGAAGAAAGGAGTTTGCTATAACGTCGATGTACTCCAGGTTTTGCTGATCGCATTTGCCTTCGTGACACTGCTCATAGTTCTCAGTTGGATGTGTAAATATTTCCAAGGGGCCTCCTGCTAAGACACCACCATGGGGACGTGTGGGCTGGTTTTCTCCCTGAATCAGATGCTCACAGTCATCGGTTCTTTAGTGGTGCTACTACTTCTGTTTATCCTGGTCAGCAGTATTGTTACGAAGAAGACCTAAGACTTAACTATGTGCAAAGGACAGAGTATCCCTAGATATCATCAGAACATCGATGTGCTGCAGGTCATAATTGTCGGATTCTCGTTCATTATTTGGCTGATCTGTATGAGATGGATGGCCAAGTACCTACAAGGACTCCCCCCATGAGTTACACATTGGAGATGGTGGGCAGCAATAGAAGTGCCACCATGTCGACAATAGCATTGCAAGTATCCTGTTAGCATTGTTATTTATTTACGGTATTATGTAATAAACTATACACAGCTGATTGTTTGTCTCATTACAACAGTAAATAGGCAAAGATATTGTAGCACACAGTAGTTACTGTTAGATTCAGCGAATGATTAATTAGATTATTTTGGGAAAATGGTTTTGAATAATGCTCTGTAATGTTGAGATCACTCAAGGTAACGTTTTTTATTATTTACTTATCATCAATTGAATTTCAAAATGAGTTACATGGGCACCTAAAAAGTACACCTCAAGGTTACCAAAAAACACCTCTACTAAAATTCAAGTCTATCCCTCAGGTGATGTGTGATTTTTTAGGTTTCAGACTTCCAAATCCAAATTAACCCTAAAACAACGTTAGCTGACAAACACGGGACGTCCCATGTAAAAAACGGGGCATGTCTTCGGGGGACGCTCGCAATCCGGTAGTTAGTGGAGATTGTAATTA